GAAAGACTTGAGCTTGAAATCACTGGATGCCTTACCCTCAAGTCTGTCCTATAACATTACTCCGTGTTTGGATGTCTTATACCCTGGTGCACATTTTTTTTCCTGTTATAATATGTGAAATGCAATATATATGAATGATATACAATGTATATGAATTTTTTATGCAAACCAATATAATTTTTAGAGTATATTTTTCTGACGAGTTTCTCCAAATAATTCAGTCTTACTCACATTTAATATAAGTCAAATAACCTCCCTCCTCATTTTTTGTTCAATATTTCAGGAAATTGCTCATAGTAGTTAGGTGTGCATTCACAGCTTTATCTTCTCCTTTAATGCTATGCAAATTGGTACGCTAAACTAAGCTAAACTAAACTACCCACTACAAATTCTTCTTCACAATCACCTTTGTCTTGCTGAACATTCAGCTTTCAGGTGATTGAAAAGACATTTAGCCTTTCTTGCACTAAAATAAGGTTAATGGACATATTAATTGTCTACCCAAACTATCAGAAGCCTTTTTCTATTCTTTTATTAAACCATTGTGGTGTTTTGTAATAACTGTAGTTTTCATAGGGTAGAACCTTTCACTTTTGCATTTTTCTCCCTTTTTATGCAAATATATTGTGTTTTATACAATCTTTCATTTACATTGTGTTTCATTCATGTATAATGTGTTTAAAGCTAACATTCATATGAAATTGAAAATTTTGAAATTAATCTAATTGCAAATTATGTTCTGTGTTGCAGATCAAAAGAACTTGAAGTATTAAATTAAAGGATTTTTTTTTTTCATTTTGGCTGAAGACTGACTTAGACTAGTGACAGGTAACTCTGGTAGCCTAGAAGTAAGGAGCTTTGTTACAACCCAGAGCAGGCAGTTTGAAGCCACCAGCTACTTCCAGTGTGAAAGATGGACAGTCTTGTTCCATGTGATTTACAGCCTCTAAAAATCTACTGGAGAGTTGATTAATTGTTCTGATGATTGACTAGTTGTAGCCTCTTCTGCAATTATTGATACTTTTCACAATTTTTTATTTTCACTTTATATTTAATATTTTCCTGGCTTTGGAGACATGATTATAAAGGTAAATTAGAGGAACATATAAGGGGGATGTCAAGCTACACATTCTGTATAGTGTTAATGACAATATGGTCCAGTTTAAAATGGTCAATGATATTTGCCTTCTTTGATCTAATGAACTTCTAAAGTCTTCAAAGTTTTCTTGAGCATCACAGAGTAGTTCCAGTCTTCAGTACTATAAAACATTGTGTTTACCCTAATTTTTAATACAGTGTGATTGGAAATTCTTAACCAAGGGTTTATTTCATTAGTATTTTTTAAGAAGTTTCAATTTGTTTCATTCTGATATGTATTATTGTTGTTATTGTTGTTGTTGTAAGATGTCAAGTCAGAACAAACTCATAGTTGACCCTCTGGTGGTTTTCAGAGGCAGTTAATTATGTGGGAAGAGGATTGTCTATCATTCTCCCATGGAATAGCTGATGGATTCAAACCTTGTACCTTTGGGATTGCAGCTTCCTACCACTAGACCACCAGAACTCCCTGATAAGTAGTACAGAGTACTCTGAAATTCTGACTAAATTCTTAATACTCAGTTAGTAAATATATCCTATATATTTGGTATACCCTGTAATATATATATATATATATATATATATATATATATATATATATATATATATATATATATATATATCCTGTAATTTACCCATATATATATATATTTATTGAGTTAGTAATAAGAATTTAGTCAGAATTCCAAAGTTCCAAAGCGCAATTTCATTCTGTCCTTTTGGGAAAGATTAACTATAAAAATATATTTCTGACTCTCCATCAAGTTTCTGAAACCATAAATCTTCAGGGGAGAAGAATGCCCATCTTTTATTTTTCTCCTTGGGAGCTCTTGATGTATTCTTAATAGTCAACCTTTTGTGATTGAAACTGATGAGTTAAACACTACACCAGTCTTCCTTAAAGGACATATTATTGTTATTGTTATATAAGAGTTGGGAACAACTCATAACTGACCTTCAGCAAATTTTGAAAGATAGAAAACCTTAAAGGAAGGAGGTTTCCCATCTTTCTCCCACAGAGCAGGTGGTGAATTCAAGCTAAATGACTTCGGTTTGGCAGTACAGCTCCTTATCCATTAATCAAAGGTTCAGATAATCATGGGTTCAAATAAGAGATCCAACCCATATGTATTATGTCACTTGACCTATTCACCTTACCTATTAAGGTTCAGTTTTCTTACATATAAAATATGAATAAAAATAAGTAGTATAGAAAGTTTAATCTGATAATATCTTGGACTCAGTACAGTAAATGTTAGCTATTCTGATGACTATGATATGACAATGAAGATATTCAACAAAATGCAGCTGGATAAAATAAATTCATCCTTATTAAAACATATTTCTATGAGACCATGTAATCTGTGTTCTAAGGAACATGTCAAAATTCTTTGAACACTGTACATGTAGTAATGTTGGGTTTTCTTCGTACACTATGAGGGAGTCTATTTCCATTATAATGATGTTGATAATGGTACCAAAAAGAAAAGAACTCTGTTTCTTAAACAATTTTTGTTTTTCTTAGGTGCCATCAAGTTGAGTATGACCCCAATGAACAACAGATCTGAACCCTGTTTTATCCTGAGCCATCTTCACAGTTCCTGATACAGTGTGTCAATCACTGTGTCAATACATGTGGTTGAGGGTCACAATGCATCTCCTGAATTCCTGGGTGATGGTATCAAGATTGTTGACTGTGGATGCAAGTAAGTTGAAGTTGTTGACAGTTTCACTGTTTTCTCCACCCATCATGATGTTGCCCTGCAGTCCAGTGATAAGAATTTTTTTGTTGCCTTGACATTGAGATGCAATCCATATTGAAGGCTTTATTCTTTAATCTTCTGCAACAAGTGCTTCAAGTCGTCCTCATTTCCAGAAAGTAAGGTTGTGTCATCTGCAAAGCTTAGGTCAGAATCTGCTTCATAGAGTCGAGCTTCTTGAATAATCTGCCCAGCATACAGATTGAATCGGTATGGAGAGAGAATACAACCCTGACACACTCCACTCTTAATTTGAAACCATGCACTATTACCTTAATCTGTTTGCACAATAGCCTCTTGGTCTAATTATACATTTTGCAAGATCACAAGTGTTCTGGGAGCTCCTTCATTGGGAGGGATTTTAAATTAACCCCATACACACAAAGCTGAAAATTGTAAGAAAATCTCGTTGCAAATTCTGTTCTACGTTGCATATTAAAATGAACTAATATCTCTTCTTAAAGAAATTTTTTTCTTTCTTTTTTTGGCTGAATACTGCTTAGACTTCTGACAGGGAATTCTGGTGGCTAGAGCTAAGGAGGCAGTTTGGATCCATGTCCCAGGGTGAAAGATGGACAATATTGTTCCATGTGTTTTACAGCCTCTAAAAATCATCCATAGTGTCAGTTATGGATTGGTTCTGACTTGATGGTACATACGTAACAACTCTGACTTAGGCTACAGTAGAGGAGAATGCAAGAGGAAATAGAAGATGCATTTTAAAAGAACCCATTAAAACTATAAGCATGAGCTGCTTGGTTACTGAAGACCCAAATGTGCAAAATATTGATGTTAATTATGGTAATTATGAAAGCTGAAAAGTATCTAAATAACTAAAAGGCGAAAGAGGTTTTTGAATTACCATGGTTCAATTTGTAATGATTAGCAGAAAAGCACACAAAGATATTTGATGGAATATTTTGAAGGTCATGCAACTATCAACTTGCCATAATGTCATTCAATTAAATATGCAATAAAATTCTCCAATTATTTATGGAGAGAATAATGTAGTAACTGTGGAATTGTTTATTACAAATTCTGGCTGTATGTACAAGCAGTAATGCCTGATCTAATGCAACATTAAGCAACTCTAGCTTTGCTCTACATTTTTTAAACATTAAACTAATTATGATGGGGTTTGGTCTTACTATATACCACATATTTAATCTTTTTTAAGACCCTATCAAATTGAATTCCAAGACACAAGTTGTTTATGCTATAAGCAAACACATGCAATATTAACACTGTATAATATGCTGACTTAATTAGAAAAAGCCTTAAATACATTTAGGAATATTATACCAAACAATTCTCATTTGAACTTGCCATTTAATGATATTCTAAAATTAATTTGTGTGACTTGGAACTTTTTTTCCTTCTCTCCTATACAAAATGCTAGTCTATTAACCCAATGGATACTAGCCTCTATTGAAAAGGAAAAGAACTGGTCAGGAGATTTCAGAGATTCTTGGGAGAATAAGGTCCTGATGAAGACCAAAGGCAAGAAATTAAATAGATGATGGAATGTTGGTCTGCTATTCAAGCTATCACGTTTAATTACACCCAGTAAAGACTCTTCCTATCATTCTTCTATCACCCTCTAAATTATAGTCTGAGGTTATATAAACACCTACCATTTCAGAAAGACATGCCTCTTCAAATCATTTTTTTCCTCTTCTACATCTATTTCTCTGTTCATTTCTACCTTTAGGTTTGTTGCTAGGGGCCATTGGGTTGACTATTCTGTACTACTATTATGATAGCTGCCACACTCAGGCCCATGTTGCAGTAACTGTCAATCAGGTAGTAAAGAAGGTATCTGAAGTGATAACACCTGTAGAGCCTGCTCTTACATTCTCAAAGTTACTAATTCTGCTCTCTAGAACTTAGAATTTTCCATCTTTAGTTGACCCTTATGCCAGTCTTTAACATTTACACCAAAAGAATATAGAGCATGGAGTCATAAAGAACCAAAAATCAAATATAAATTCTGACATGAGACATTTAAAGTTATTTAATCTATTTTCCCATCCCCCAACATCATGAAATCAAATGCTTGGATGTAAAAAAATTCGTTGTTAGACTTTAAGCTCTGATTCTATTTTGTCATTAAAATCCAAGGAAGTATTAAAGCGTGTTTACCTTTACAAATCGTGACACCATTTCCTGAAAATCCCAAATTGCAATAGCAGGCTTCAACTCCATTTTGTATTTCACATTTGGCATTTGGAAGACAAGGTGTCTTGGTGCAATTTTGAGTATAGGTACAATCCAGTAAAATGGAAAAGGCCACTAAATAGAATAGAGAAAAATATCTTTTCAAAAAGAAATAAGGAAAAAACCCTCTAAGCATGCGGAATTAAAACACAAGTACAAAATAGTGCTTTGTCAGTAGTGCTACTGATTATAAATTTTTCTAAATTTTTCTAATACTCTTTTTCCTTTCCATTTGAGTAAATGGATTATAAGAATGTTCCCAAAGGTGCATTTAACTAAATAACAGCGCAAGAGCAGGTAAGTAAAGGGATAATAGCTTTTCATCAATTTCAAACTTAACGAGTAAATTGCAACTAAGCTAAAATGTAATAAACAACCCAACTTTATAATGAAACCTGCATTCATAGATCCTTGCCCCTGAAACATCAAATCTAGCCCTTCATCCTGAGGTAGATACATTCAAAGGTAAAATTGCATGATTGTGAAGTCATTTTCTTCCTCTAGGCGTGATTCTGTGCAGAAATCAAAGTAAATTGCATATTCAAATTAAAAGTTGTTGTGTTTTCAAATAAAGAGCTACAATCTTAACATCTCTAAGAACAAGCATGTTTATATTCTCTTCCTGTGTTCTAACAATCTCATTTCAATTCTCACTTTTCAATAATAAAAAAGAAATGTTTTGCTTTTCTTTCCATCAGGAGGAAATTCAACATGATGGTCAAAGATTGATCTTTGTAAAATAAATCACCACACACATCAACAACAAAAATGAACTGTAAAACAGAACAGTTGAAATTAGAGTTACTGAAAATAAAGTCTGGCTGGTATTTTGTGGACTGTTAGGATAAGATAAGGAACAGCAAGGGAAGCTCCCCTTTTATTTTTGTTCCAGGCCTTCTCAAGAGAAGCCTGTTTGGGAATGGATAGTTATGAATCATGCAAGTTATTGTTCTGAAAACAGTCATCAGAGATAAATTGTCCTTATCTGGCACCAAGAGATTCTTAAACATTCTATTTTAAATCTCAGCCTCACACAGGACAGTATATGCTGTCTAAACCAGAATTAATTCATCTTCGAGGATTTGATTTATTATCTTCCTTCACAGCATCATCAAAATGGTATTTTAAATGCACTGAAACCCAGAGCCGGCAATTTCCTTAAAATGCCAGAAAGCCTCCCCTAAATGCTACCATTTAGGATTTCCCAATGGATTTTTTGTGAGAAGAGCAAGGGAAAGGTCTTAGTCTGAGGTTTTGGGGATCTTTTGACAGAAAAGACAGGGTAACTTGATCCCCTGGCCCAGGTTTCTCAAAGTTGAAAGGCGAAGGAGGAAAACTTCCTGATATGTCTCTTTGGATAGGAAAGTTTGCAAAATGCGCTTGGCAATCTAACTGCAGCTGATAGAAATCCCTTCCCTACAAGTGATCTGTCTCTACAGCAACCTCAGGTGACAGTGGTGCCTTGCACTCACCTAAGAGCGGGAGGAGGTTCATTGGCGGCAGCCTCTGGTGGAGCAGGCAGTGAGCAAGGCTGGGTGTGCTGGCCTTGTACATGGGACGCAGCAGGACAAGGGCAGCAGGGACCAGGCTCCATCCCCTGTGACGCATGGGCTTCCTCCGGACACTTTCCGGCCTCCTTTGTGTTAATGTGTGTATCAAGTTCCCCAGTCTACAGGCCATGTCCGGCCCTGAGCCCTTCCCCCAAGCCACCTCTTTGCCTCTTAGATCATCAACAAGAGATCTATTGCAAATCTCCATAAATCAATGTGGCCCTGGGGCAGGTCCTAGAGTACAGTGTCACCCTCAAACCCTGCTCTGGCAAGCCAGCCCCCTCTATAAACTCATGGAGGTTTCCTCCTGAGAGAACACCCAAAAAGGTCTTAGGGGTCCTGCCTGCAAACTAAGTGCCAGAACACATTGTTCTTACTCACTAATAAATTTCCATCAAGAACAATAGGCCAAGAAGTTGATAGGAGAGGTGGGTCCCTGTAATGAAGCATTGCCCTCACTCCTGCAAAAATAAGATGTATTCATTTTTTTATATAATTTATATATTTATTTATTTATATACAGTATTGTTTGCTATGAGTCAGTTTCAGTTACTTCCCTGCTTTTATGACCACCCAGACCAGTGTTTAGATCTGATGGGAAATACATCTGGAGGTTTGTATTCTATCTTGTCTACAGTTTGGATTATGCTTGAAACAACTTATTAAAAATCCACTGTCAAAACACAAAGTTCAAGATGTAAGAGGCTTTGGAA